TGGGCACTGAAAATGAGCAAATTAAATTCCATGTATGTATAATTATGTCAAAATGAAGCCCACTATTAACTAACAAAAAGATTTAAAAATAAATAATAAATACCTTAAAATAATAATTTCTACTCCATTCTAAAATAATTTTATTTAGAATAAAATGTACTCCATGTTTGTATAAACATGTCAAATTATATTCTACTGTCATATATAACTAAAAAGAACAGGTAAAATAGATATAATTTTTTGACATTTGCTTATTTATTTCTCCAGTTATAAGGCAGGGATGTCTATCCATAGATATTGCAGGCCCATAACCACACCCAATGGGAGGGATAACCTTTGGAACATGGTGTTTGACTTTGTCATCATAAGTAGTGTGTGTCATTAAGTATGATGCTGAAATCACATTGATCAACAGGGGATCAAACTATATTTATAGAAAATAGAGAATTGTTATTGCTACCATTGTTTCTTTTTAATACAGATAAGAAATTTCCTTTTCGTTTCCACCTGGGTTGTATGTAGCCACCCCCTGCTGTCAAACAGTGTACCCCAGTAAGTCTTTGTCATGTTCATTTGTTCCCAGACAAGAAAAAGATATAATATTTGGTATCATTAAAAGAATTTGAATTTATTTTCAGGTTTATAAAGTAGTTGTCCAGCTGGGTTCATGAATGGAGGGTATTGCTCCAACTGAACATTCTTTTTCATTGTGCCACAGTGACTCTTTTCAGATATCATAAAAGATCACTGCAGAAGGACTGAAGCAGCTCAATGCACACCCAACAATCCATTCTGCACTTCTGCAATGACATTTGTCCATTTTGCAAGTAAATTATTGCTAAGAATGAAATGTAAGGTATTTTTAACATGTGTAAATACAGGCAGATCTTTAATATTCAACAATACATAATCAAGCTGATTATTCTGAGAGTAGTGCTGGCCTGTGGCCCATCCCAAGACATTTCTAGTTTCATTGATCCCTTTCCCTCTTGGACTTAGAAATTCAAACCATTGAGCCCCATTTGCCATTTTCATGGCCAAGACAAATATGGGTTCCTCGTGATAGTTTCTATGGCAATGACCCCAGTGAATTATACTATGTTCCCATTTGTGGAGTGCACTTGTCCTTCTTACGTATCATGATTTGAATACAGATGGTGTCATTGGGTTCTTGTGTCAACATCAGGCAGGTACTAGGATATGTGATGCCGTCGTCATGTTAATTGGTGTTCCTAATGGCCATCCATAGTTGCTTGGACCACACTTGGATAGATCCATCTTCAATTTGTAGTTGCTGTTTTAGTGAGCCATTGATTCATGGAATTAATTATGCTATATCCGAGTTATAAGGCAAATGGAAATGCTAATGTATGTCCAAATTTTTAGTCCACTTTTACACTTTTACAGAATGTGGCCAGTAAAGTGTCACTGTCTATATCCATGAGAGTGGTATATTTGACATTGAGCATTTGAAAACCTTGTAGAGCTACCTTCTGTGTGGCCATTCTGCAAGCTTACACCCATAGTAGTCCAGTGTGAATGTCTGAAAATGTGTAGCCTTTACACCAGAGCAAGGTAATGAAGTCAGCCTGTCACTGTTGTGCAGGCTGCATGGCTCAAGCTGCCAACATCATCACATAAATCACTGACCAGGATATGTGGGATGAACCACATATGTAAAATATATGAGCACCTTAGTGGGAGGCCCCGCTTCTTTGTTGTAGACCAGAGAGTTTCATTTGTGTTCCATCTCTCTATACAGCCAAGCAGCCATACCTTCAGCTGTTTCATTTTATAGTGATTTAAATTGAGCTACATCATCTGCTTCCTGGTTGTCTTGTGTAGGATCAGTACTGTGTGATTTCACTTGATACACAGTTACAAGTGTGGCTGTCATTGCCAAATGTCTCTCCACATTTTCATCTCCTTCCATAGCTGTGTGCAAAATACTAAAGGAATTCATTTTGCCGTCCTGTTATGGTCACAGTACCCACTCTAACCATCAGGGAAGCTAAAAACATCCAATTCATAGGAGTGTTTTGGGACTGATATGTCCAGGGATCTGTTTTACATTTATTTTTGTTTGAGAAGAGACCTCAAGTATTCAGGTTCACAGGCCCACTGGGCTTTCCCTTT